CCAGGAGCGCTGTCTATGAGGAGGGCCGGATAGCCGCTCTCCTTGGAGAGGTCGATGACGGTCCGTGGTGGGCCGGCGTCCATGGGGGCTTCCATGGCGAAATTTTGCGGAGGCGGCGGCGGGGCCTGGTGGTGTTGTTGTTGCTGATGCTGAGAGTGCGGCGGCTGCTGCTGCTGCTGCTGCTGATGGGCTCCGGGCCCGGGAACGAGGCCTTGGAGGGCGGAGTGTATGGCTTCTGCTTGTTGTTGGGCGGCTTGGCTTGGGCCGTTGGGGAGAAGGCCGTGGGTGGCGGAGGAGAGGTCAAAGTGTGGTTGGTGTTCGTGTTGGTGTTGCTGCTGCTGGGAAGGAGCGCCTGGGTGGTGGTGGCTCGGATGACCGTGGTGATCCTCGTCTACGACGTCGTCGTGCTCGCCGTCCTCGTCTTGGTCTGGGAGGTGTTCAGTTTTGGCAATGATAGAGTGACGGTCTTCCTCATCATCGTCACGAAGCTGGGCGTCTATGTGGTCGGCCGTGACGGAGGACTGGCGATGGCTACGTCCGCGACCGCCGGCAATGGGAGGCTTGGTGACCTTGTTCGGGCGACCGCGCGGTCGTCCGATGGCACCGCCTCTACCGGACATGGAAGGGTTCTCTAGGTCGGGCGGGATGCTTTCGCGACGACACGGATGAGACGTGATGTTTGGCGATGCTGAGCAGCTGATAACAGCTGGTGGGTGAACAGGCTTGAATTGAGGGAGAGGAGCGCCAGTGTGTGCGAAGGCGTCGGGGATTTCCCACCACCTACGACTGGTGGCCAAATGCGGTTAGCGTCGTTGGCGGTGCTGCTTCGTCTGGGGGCATGTACAAGTTGGCCACCTCCTCTCCTCTGTGTTCTTTCCTTATCTTCAAATTCATCTGAACAAAATGGTGAGGAAACGTGTGATCATTTCGAAAATTGACAGTCAAGCTCTGACATGAGCCAGCCGGGTGTACGCACGGAAGTCTCAGAGCTGATCGAATATAGCAGCAGACCTCGACACTTGTGTGAAGCCATGGTCATGACAGTTGTACACGGCATCAGTGACAGGCCAACAACAAGCTTGTCATTGGCGCGGTGCACGCCAGACTCGACCCGAAGAATGAACGTGTACTGATGGTGCTGTTATCATCCCAGTATTTGTGCCAAATTTTTGACTGATTTAGCTGCTCTCCAGTCGGCATCGGGATGATCATTTGCCTTGACAAACACCCATTTATGCAGTCATTGTACCAAAGACGACTGTAACCTTGCTGTCTAGAGTGTCGAGAGAATACTGCACGCTTTTCTCTGCATTTGTAAGCAGCATATTTCCATTTCAGATGACGGGAGCCGACAAGGTAAATCTGGCTTGAGGAGGCATCATTGAGTATGAACACTATGAACACTTTCAGAAGGAGACTCACCAAATCTCAGTCAGCTAGAAAGGTAATCCTGGCCCTGATAAATTGTTCCAGAGCAACGCTTCAGCCTGAGGAACCCCTCCCATCCGTCTGGTCTATAGTCCCGCCGGTTGCCCAGCGCCGCACGATACTGGATGTCACTATCACTAGGCCAGACGGAGGCCAGACGGAGTAGTGGACGTGAACAACGTTCTTCCCTGTGTACTATGATAAGACAACTGCGTTTGCCGATTTTGGGCCCGAGGCTAGTGAGGTTCCTTACATAGCATTAGTGATCTCTTCATTGTACGGATCGTGTACCTCGCGTCTACTCATGCAGAACCTATCCCGTGCTTGAGCCTCTCTTTTCGATCATGTGCGTCATTGAACCTGCAGGCTCTACTGCTGCGGAGACTCCCACACGTCGCCCCCTCCTTCCGACGCCGTCATGTCCCTCCACCGCTGCATAAACTCCCGCAGGCCCCCCTCGCCGGCCGTGCTCGCGTCGACAACCTCCTTCGGCAGCTTGTGCGCCGAGTACTGCGCCGAGCTGAAGTTGGCCGACGATGGGTTATCCCGCTCCATGAGCCGCAGCTCCGGCACGAGCTCGTCGGCCTCGTCCTCGTCCTCTGTCGTGGCGTCCTCGTCGTCGGCGCCGGCGCCCACGTCCTCGCGAAACTCGTGCGGGCTGACGACGGAGCCGAGAATGGGCCGCGGCACGTCAAACGTCAGTAGCTCGCCCCAGTCGAACAGCAGGCTGTCGGTGCGGGCGGCCCAGGGGTTGACGTCGATGAGGCGCACGCGGCCGAGGCCGTCGCGCGCGTCGCTGTCCTCGGGCACGTAGACGTCAAAGATGAAGCAGCCGTCGGGGAAGGTGAGCTGGAGCTTGTCGTCGAAGAAGCTGCGCACCTTGCTGACGAGGGCGGGCCGTAGCGCCTCGAGAAAGGGGGTAGTGGTTCTGGTCGCGCGAGCAGAGGCCGATGAGGATGCGATGCTTTGACGAAGCAGCGGAACTCGAGG